ATAGAATAGAATAGAATAGAATAGAATAGAATAGAATAGAATAGAATTCTTTATTGGCCAAGTGTGATTGTAGCAAATAATAATAAATTCATATTTTTAACATAGCCTTGACAATGCAAAAAATGTTCTGACAAAGGAAAAGAAGATGAGAAGAAAAAAGGAAAACTAAATAATTCAGTCCCAGTTCATAAATAAGAACCCTTACAGCTTATAGAGGTTATGAGCTGCTCAATAAGTCCTGCATGAGATAATCACCATGTATGATCTTGTTCTTACATAGCGGTTGTCTTGATGACTTCAGTCCTGAGAAATGCAAGTTCTAAGCAAGAGAAAAAATATTACTCTGCTCTCTCCCCTCTTAGAAGTAATGCAGAGTACTCTGCTACAAACCAGAACTACTGCAGTTTGCTATCAAAAACTACATCTGGATTCTATCGCTTATGAAACTGAAAATTAATTAATCATGTATGAAAAATCCATGCCTGGTTATTCACTACCAAACTTGTAAACAGTAAATTTAAATCAGAGATTGTGAATTTATATTTTAATCTATAAAGCAGCTTCTTGTAATCCCAACTTTCATTCGTATTTGAGGCTTTTCTAGATAACATTTTCACATATATAGATTTTTCAGAGACGCAGTTAGATTCTTAGGTCCAAAATCTGATGAACATCTAAAATAGACCTGAATAAATTTATTTCCCCAACAAATTCATTTTTCATTTTTTATATTAAATAAGCAATTAAATAAAAATCATGATTTATCTTTTTAGCATATTTCAGTTTAAAAATAAAATATCTTGTTTATTTCATTTCACATAATTTCTGTTTTTATCTATCACTGATATATCCTTACATCAGTATGTTATCTTTGTTTAATTGAGACATTAACAGATTATTTATATGATCTGTGAGCAAGATTAATTTTTATTTATTTATCAAATTTAGAAACTGTCTGTCTCACTTTCTAAATGGCTGGGCGATTTACAAATACATTGTAAAATGTATTTTGTAAACATTAATATATTAATTACTAACCATATATAATTAATGCAGTATATTAATTACTAACTGGTTTTGTAAAATATGTATTAGTTTGAAGGACATAATGATATTTTTAATAAAATTCATTGTTAATATTTTGAGTTATTTTTGTTTCTAAAATTTCTAAAATTATGCATTGAATTTATTAACTGCTAATGTGTTTGAAGCGTGCAGATGACTTTACCAGTTTACAGTCTGATACTACATTGCTGATACATTTTTTTGGAAAGAAAGGAAAGGCCGAGCTTAACTTCGAAGATTTTTACAGGTGACTTTATTTTATATTTTGAATATACATCATGTTTTTATATATGTCTTATATTTTTGGAAAGTATTTTTCTGATCTTGAATAAAAAGAAAAAAAAATCTACTTGGATGAATTTGTTCCTAATACAGAAAAAAGACATTTTAGCATGAAATGTAGAAAAGCCAAATTAAAGAGGCTATGTAATAGACATTTTTCAAAAAATAAATTCAAATAATTATAGCAGTACTAAGAGGAATATGGGCCCTAGTTTTTAGCAGAGAAATTAATTATGTGAATTATTCATAGAGAATGAAATAAATAAGTGATTACAACCTACAAAATTGATTTCCTACAATATATTTACAAATTCAGATCATTCAAGCATTCTTTAAAGGAAAATACTTTTTTTAAATATGTTGTTTATCTTTTATTTTGATGAATTGGTGTTTGAAAAATATCATAGCTGAATATATTGTTGCTAGTATTTTAGTCTCTGAATTAATGGTAGAAATTATTCTATGGCAGAATTTAAACATTAGAGATATTTGCTATTACTCCTCTGCCTACCTCATAATCTTTAAGACTTTGATATCAGTATTTTCATAAACTAGGTTTATGGACAACCTCCAAACTGAAGTTCTTGAGATAGAATTCCTTTCCTATTCTAATGGAATGAACACCATCAGTGAGGAAGACTTTGCTCATATACTATTAAGATATACAAATGTGGAAAATACATCAAGCTATCTGGAAAATGTGCGCTGCAGTATCCCAGAAGAACAAGTAAGATTTCCAACAAGAGCCCCCAGGCCTCTGCAGAATTTTCATAACCATATTCTTTTTAGCATCTCAATCTTGTTATTTATTAATTGGAAAAGTAAACTTTTCCTAACTAATTCACTTTCAGATAGATATGCTTAAATATGAAAGCTACAATTCATTCATAGTCCAAGTCTGAAGATGCATAGTGCCCATATGTTTCTGATTGACAGTAGGAAAGGAATGTGGGAGAGGAGGGAAATTAGTTTACGTTGAAAGAAAAAGTAATTGGAATCTAAATAAAAGCATTTCACCCTAGAATATGTTAAAATACTTTTTTTAATGTACAAAATTCTAGAATGCGTTTGCTTATTTCCCCATTAAATAAGTGCAGATGAATCTTTTAACATGTTGACAGAAAAAAGTTGTCTTGCTGTATTCTGCTTATTACATTATCACCAATGTCAGTGAAATGCCTTTAGGTTAAACATTGGCAATAAAGTTTTCTCCCAGTCTAGCCAGCCAACTCATAACATATAATTTACATAATTCTCTATTTAATATATCAGATTTTAATGGAAGAACTCTTATTTCAGCTAATTACTCTGAATTATTTTTCTTAACAAACTATATGCAAAAACAACACATAGCCATATGTTTTATATTTTATCATTTAGCAAAATGAATTGTCAAACAATATTATAATCAAATTCAAGTTCAATCAAATTACAAAATCAAATGGAATATACATCTATAAAAGGTGTGTAGCAAAATGAAGCACTTCATCTTGCTGATTGCTGAGAGCCAGTTTGGTGTAGTGGTTATGGTGCTGGCCTAGAAATTAGAAGACGGTTGTAGGCCTGCCTGAGTCAGAAAGATGGCTGGATGACTTTGGGACGGTCGCTCTCAGCCCAACTTGCCTCATAAGGTTATTGTTGTGGGAAAAATAGGAGGCAAGAGTTTTAGACATCTTTGCTGCCTAGAGTTATATATAAAATGGTGGAATAAACATATAGTAATCAATGTTATTGAATGATACCAATAATATTTTTACCAATATTTTAAATTCCATTCAGACATGTCCATTTCTCACAGGTCCCAGCAGTTTTCTTGACAAGATTTTTCCAAAGTGGTTTGCCATTGGTTTCTTCTTAGGGCTGAGAGAAAGTGACTGGCCCAAGGTCACCCAGCTGGCTTCATGCACAAGGCAGGGTATATGGACAGTCTCCTGGTTTCTACCCTGATGCCTTAACTACTAACCAAGCTGGCTCTATTCAGCAGTTAATAGAAGCTAAAACACTGAATAGCTAACATATTTAGTTACTCTTACATAGATATTTCACTTGCAAGTAAGTTAAAGTGTACTATTTATTATTAGATTTATTTACTGCCTATTTCACCACAAGGCAAGTTAATACTAGATACAAACAATTAATGAAACATTGAAAGGAAATATAAATAAACAAGTGTTAATTATAGGAATAAAGGAGAGAGAACATTAATAGATTTTTCTACTTCCTCCAAGGAATCAGAGGGAGTAAGAAGTGGCTGGTAATGTGTCTTTGTTTTGCCTCAACAAGATAAAATTTCAGCAGTGATAACTCAGAAAACAGGAGATGCCACATGAGTAGATTGTGAAGACTTCCATTTCCCTGAAAGGCTTGTTTGCAGTATATTATTGCTGTTTAGCTTAAACCTCATATTTCTATCAAGAGATCAGTATTCCCTGCTCTGTATGTGAGATCAAATGTTTACTGGCATAGGTTAATTGTTGCTGTTTACATTATTTTTATCCTACCTTTATTATTCTTTATAAATATCTCAAGGCAACAAACGCACAGGATATATAACACTCCTTCCACTATTTTCCCCACAACAACCACCCTGTGATTGGATTAGTTTAAACCTGGTGTCTTAACCATTAAACTTACTCTGTTGTTGTGATATATATGAACTCTGTACCTGCCCCTGATTAGGCAGCCTCAGCATAGATGTTAGACAATAAGTTATCATAAAGATTATCCAACTAATTCAGAAAAGGGATGCTGGTAAGCAGAGTAGGTGATTGTCCTGGCCTGGTCAGTTTGTCCTAGCAGCATACATTCAACATCGGCATATTGTGTAAAAGAGCATGTGGCCAGCTATTTTTATCAGATCTGTACAGTTCTACATGATCAAATTTTGCTGTAATGTTTGTAAAACCAGATACACTTTGATAAACAAACAAAATAAAATAGTAGAGTTAGTTACATTTTGATGGGAATCAATAAGCTAACTAACTCTACTGTTTTATTTTGTTTCATCTACAGTTAACCTGTGGAAGAGCAATAAAGAGAAGAGCAGAGAAGAGCAATAAAGATGCTTAGGGGACTGGAGGCCAAAACATATAAAGAATGGTTGCTGGAATCGGGTATGTCTAGTTTAATGAAAAGAAGGTTTAGGGATGACATGATAGCAATGTTCCAATATCTCAGGGGCTGCCACAAAGAAGAGGGAGTCAAAAAGCACCCAAGGACAGGACAACAAGCAATGGGTGGAAACTAATCAAGGAGAGAAGCAACTTAGAACTAAGAAGAAATTTCCTGGCAGTTAGAACAATTAATCAGTGGAACCACTTGCCTCCAGAAGTTATAAATGCTCCAACACTGGAAGTTTTTAAGGAGAGATTGGATAACTATTTGTCTGAAGTGGTGTAGGGTTTCCTGCCTAAGCAGGGGGTTGGCCTAGAAGACTTCCAAGGTCCCTTCCAACTCTGTTATTCTATACTATTCTAATTCTAGTAAGTCACGGGTGTCAAACTTGATTGCGTCACATGACGTATTGCGATGTATAGCACCAGTTTGACAACCCTGTAGCAGGTGAACAAAATAGGATACAGAACACATAGGCTGAAAAAATAGGGAACAATGATAAAAATGTACAGTAAATGTTTTCTCTTAATTCTGATAATCAATTGCCATCACATATCTAGGAGATAATCCCTGTCTTAGAATTGAATTGGCGGTACTAGACAGAAATTATTCTGAAAAGCCTATATCAATAATAATGCATATAGAAGTTGGGTTAATAAGTGAAAATGAGAAACACGTTTCAGTGCTTTATATGGTACAGAAATTTCTCTTCAAAATCATTTTTACAGCAGGGTATTATATATTTCCTTGTTATACTTTTATTATCTTTTAATAAATCATAGCCAGTCATAAATGCCTTGTTATTACTGCATTAAAAATAAAATTTACAGATAATAGATTTTGTTGGTGTTGATCCATGCCAATGAATAATTAGACAGCATAATAAACTTTAATTTAGCTGTATATATTATTTCTGAAATGAATAAAAACAGCAACGTAGATGCTATTAAATACATAGGCTTCCTTAACTTGCTATAAATTGTACTCTTACTGCTTGAAGGCTTTAAATATATATATATATATATATATATTTATATTTGTATTATATGTAATATATATACATTATATATAATGACAGATAAACATTATTAAATATTTTAGAATGTATTTTAAAAAGACAAGAGACAGAGAAATTGTTTTATTGCTACCATAGTTTTTCCTGAGACAGCAGTGCAGCAGTGTTCTAATAAGTAAAGGAAGCTAAATTGCCTGCTTCTTTTTTATACAAAACTTTTGCAAGACAAAGAAGGCATTATAGCAACTATCATCTTGGTTCTAATATTACTTTATTTCACAGGGTATTACATTTGATGAATTTAGATCCTTTTTCCAGTTTTTGAACAATCTGGAAGATTTTGCAATTGCAATGCAAATGTACAATTTTGCAAATCGTTCAATAGGACAAGGTAAGACTGTCTAATGTCAAGATTTTATCCTTTATATTTATTTATTTATTTTTCTTATTGATCACATTCTTATTTATTACATTTGTGTTACCCAACTCCAATGACTCTTGGCAGTTCACAACTAAATTAAACTAAAAGAAGGAATATACAGAAGTACCCAATTAAAGTAAAAAGATAGTGAGAATGAAAGGATCTTCATACTTTCCCGCCAAAGACTTAGGCAAAGAACCAGGTCTTCATGATCCTTCTAAATAATACCAGAGTAGGTACCATCCAGGGCTTGGAGGAAACCTCATTCCAAAGGCAGGGGCTGGCACAGAGAAGGTGCGTTTCCCAAGTCCTGATAGATGTCAATCTTGCAAAATCAAATTGTCCAAGGAAATATTAATGGAAACAGGGAAACAGTTCCTCAAGCAACCAGGTCCTATGCCATGTAGGGCATTACAGGCAGTAACCAGTACCTTGAACTGAATAATAGAAGAGAAACTCATATTTTTTACTTAGCTGTCCACATTTCTGCATCAAATGCTTCATTAAAAATAGAGCTTGATCTAATGTATTGGGGTGGATCATTGCCTCCATGGTGGATACCCATCCCGGGATTTTTATATAATGTTTATTTTTAATTTCTTCCCATATTCATATTAGAGAGTCCCTTAGCATATGTCTATAGAAATATGTATGGGCCTCACTTCTGAAACTCCACATGAAAGCACACCACCCCGCCTGTAAATCGTATCCCTCTAGAAATACAATTCTTTCATTTCTTAAGTTTACCCATTCTTTAATCCATGTTAGGCCTGCTACTTTATAGTAAATTTCCAAATCTGGGAGTCCAAAGCTACCTCTGCTTCTATTATCCTGCAATGCACTTAATTTTATTCTTGCTCTTTTGCCCGCCCACACAAATTTTGAGATTATTTTATTTAGCTCTGCGGCTTTGCTCCGCATTTGGAAGGCTGCCCACTGGGTGGTCGAATGCATCAAGAAAGACACCAACGCAGGTTCTATCTTGGATGAGCTGCCCCGATCACAAGTTCGGGAAGCTCTTTTATTAAAAAACACACAGTGATACGTCACAAGCAGTGAATTCTATCCAATCATTAAGTTACATGAGAAGGAATATTAGTGCACACATAGTAACATCCAATTACAGTGCATGGTCAGTGTGAAAGGTACAAGGTAACAAATCAGCGCCTACAGTTATTCGCCCATGATGACGTGTTTCTTGATTGATGATCTCTGTTCCTGGTACGCTTTCAGCCTACGTGAGGCCTAGAGGCCTTGAGGCCTGGTATGTACCAAAACTATAGAAACTAATTTATTACTGCAAGCTCTAAAAAAAAATTCTTGTCTAATTTTACAGAGATCGTTTGAAACAGATAGAGTAGTTTTGGTGGAATATTAATCTTAATGGCCGCAATTCTTCCTAACAAAGATAACTGCATTTTCACCCACCCTTCTAAATCTTTTTTTATTTGTTCTAAAACTCGTGTAATTATCATATTTTATTGATGAGCATCTTGCTGTCAGCCAGATGCCCAAATATTTAACTTTCTTTGTAATCTGCAATCTGTTCCTTTCTCTAATTCCTTCTTCTGTTTATCTGTTAGATTTTTAATTATTATTTTAGTTTTCTCCTTATTAATTGTAAGGCCAGCTACTTCCCAAAATTTTTCTATCTCCTGTATTAATTTTGGTCCCGTTTCCAATGGTTCTTCTATGAAGAGTACTAGGCAAACACTTGGACCTTATATTCTTCTTGTTTTATTTTAAGCCCTTTTATCTCCCGATTCGATCTTATTCTTATTAGCAGAACCTCTAATGTCAGGATAAAGAGCAGAGGTGACAATGGGCAGCCCTGCTGTATTCCTTTCATTATTTCGAATGGATTTGTACATTCCCCATTTATTATTATACTTGCTTTCTGGGAGGAGTATATTGACTTCATGTCTTCAAATCTATCTCCAAATTTCATTCCTTTTATCTGTTGGATCATAAACTGCCAGTTGACCTTATCAAAGACCTTTTGAGCATCCAAAAAAACTAGGGCCTCCAATAGTACTAATTCAATTGCTTCACCTATGCTTTTATAGATTTCTCCTGGTAATCCTTGGAGTTTTATTACTTTTTTGTCTCTGAATTGCTTCCCTTAATTCTTCTATTGTAATATCTCTATTTAACATTGCCCTTTCCTCTTCTGTTAATACTGATATACCTTTTCCTTTTAGGTAATGTTTTATTTTCTCGTCTGCAATCTATTCTTGTTTATAAAGCTCCTTAAAAATTATTGCGCAATCCTTTTTTTCTTATCCATATTGTTTTGTAGATTCCCCTCCTTGTAACTTCTGGATTATTCTTTTTTCTCTTTCTTTTTTTAATTTATAGGCTAGCCATCTCCCTGGTTTATTTGCATTTTCAAAATGGTTTTGTTTTATAAACTTCAAATTCCTTAGATTTTTCTCCTGTTCCAATATATATAATTTGTGCTTGGCTGGGGCTCTTTTAGTTTCAATTTGCTCATCCCCCAGTTTACCTTGTAGTTGGGCGTCTAAATGTTTAATCTCCTCATGTAAAATATTATATTCTTTCTCTTTTTCTTTTTTCCTCTTCCCAGTATAGGCTATTGTTAATCCTCTTATATACACTTTCATTGTATCCCACAAATTCTGTAGTGACGTATGATGTTTCTTATTATCCTTAAAATATAATTCTAATTCTTTTATAATTCATTCAATATATTCCTTCTCTTTGAGAATTTGTGGGTTCAATGTCCATCTCCCTCTCTTCCTTAGATCTAGGAAGAATGGCCAGATATGAAATTTTGGACCCCCAAGGAACATTAAAGACTAACCAGGAAATAAAAGATCTGGGACTAAATATAGACTGGATGCCATACCTTCAATTAAAATCAAAATATAAAAAAGACCAAGAGTAATTCGGAATTGAGATAGAACAAAATCAGTTAGATAAATTAATGGCAGGTACAGATGAAAAATTGATATCAAAGATACATAACTATTTATTAGAATACGATTTAGCAGAAGAAATAGTGAAAGGACTAATGATAGCGTGGGCCAGGAATTTGTGACATAATATAGAGCTGAAGGATTGGGGAAAGGACTGGTGGGGAAATTATACGATAACAAAATCAGCGTCATATAAAGAAAATCAATATAAAATGTGCTATCGGTGGTATCTAGCCCCTTTGAGATTGGCTAAAATGTATCCTAATTTAAGCCCAAATTGTTGGAAATGTAAACAATTACAGGGTACCTTCTTTCATGTATGGTGACTATGTCCAAAAGTTAAGAAATATTGGACCAAAATACGAAAATGGTTAAAGGAAATTACGAAAGTCCAAATAGAATTTAAAGCAGAAATATTTTTCCTGGGAATCATCAAAGGAAATTCTAGGAAAGAGATAAAATATTTAATCCTGCATATAATAACAGCAGCGAGATTAGCATTCACACATTGTTGGAAAGGAGATTCTATGCCGACAGATAGTTTAATTATCAAAAAGATTTTTGACTGTGCAGAGATGGACAAACTTTCATTAGAATTAAAAGAGAAAGAAGACTCAGTTTATTATATAGTATGGGAAAATTGGTATCATTGGATAAACAATAGAAATAAACAAATAAATAAAGAATGTATAATTTAGAAAGATAGAGGTATATACATAAGAACAAATAGGAGTATTAAATTCACACTGGAATAACAGTTGAAATGTAAACATTATCAAAATGGATTGTAATATACACAACACTTTCATTTTAAATATTTGTATTGTATTTTTTATTTTAATGTTTTAAATTTTCAATAAAGTTTTTTTGCTATTAAAAAAAATAGATCTTGAATTCTCATGTAATGTTAGAAGTAACTGTCTTCTTCTCATATCTTCCCTTTCCAAAAACATAACAAATATTGCATGTTGTCTGCTAATATTTTTATTATATTCTAATAAATATATGCAATATAAAAATGGTTGGGTCTTCTTAATTGCTTTTTCTGCATAGGAATGTTCTTTGCATAGAATTAAATAGACCTAATTCCTTTCAAGTTAAATGACCATATTGTAATGCAACAATCATGATTAAACATTCTGAGGTGGTTCACATCAAATCTTACATTTGTACATTTCCCCTTGCTTTTTGGTATGCATATAGTGAAGATTCCAATATTTTTTCCCTAGGACTATTTAGATAAGATCATATTCAATTCTATAATTAGAAATTTATGAAATTTATAGATATGAAGGCAACTTACAGTATTATTCTTTTTTATAATTTTGGACCAATTTTTATAAAATGATATACTTTATTCAAATTCAAAAGCTAGATTCTGTATCCATGAAAAAAAAATGATATCAATTTTTAAATAAGTTTTGTGTGTGAGAGTATTTGTGTGTGTGTGTGCATGTAATAATAAAATATTTGGCAAAGATTTATTTGGTGCATATTATTAATATGGTAATAGTAACCACTGATGAAAAATGTGAACAAATGGAAATGTTTAGCATCGATAAATTAGAAAGCAAAATTTAAAAATTGGAAATTTGTACAATTTAAGTAAAGGTTAAATATAAAAGTAAAATAATATGTTTTTAAATAAAAATGTGATGATAAATGGAAGTAACTATTGTGAATCTATCTCATTTAGTAAACAAATGGGAGAAATTATGCTTACTTACAGGCTGAATCTCTGTTTAAAAGCTACAAAAATCTGTTTAAAAGCTACAGAAAGGATTAGGTTCTTTCCTACTAGCACTTTGATGCCAACAATTATTAATGGGCAACATCAATTAAAATGTATTTGAGTGCTCCGCCATCAAAAATTAAAACTAAAATATTTTGCAGTTGTTAGTAACTAACTTGGAATTACAGACTAGCAGAATAACCGAGTTGGAAGGGATCTTGGAGGTCTTATAGTCCAACGCCCTGCTCAAGTAGGAAACCCTATACCAGGGGTGTCAAACTCGCAGCCTGCAGGCCAGATGCGTCATGTGCTGGCCACACCCATTCCAGTTTAGCGAAGGGGGGAAAGTTGCCATATATCACGTGACAACAATGTTGACATCGCAAATTTGACATCTGTGCCCTATACCATTTCAGACAAATTGTTGTCCAATCTCTTCTTTAAAATCTCCAGTGATGGAACACCACAACTTCTGGAGGCAAATCATTCCACTGATTAACTGTTCTATTATAATATTATAATTATATATAATATAATTCTATTATGTTATAATATTATAATTCTATTGTAATTACATTGCATAACAAATTGTTTATGCTAAATTAAACTAATTTGAAGAAAAGAATTCATCAATTTTCTTATTTAAGAAAAAAGAAAATTCCATAGCTGGTGATTCTGCAACAATTTATCTAAAACATTAATATTAATATCAAATTAATAAAACCAAAATAATACATTTAAATATCCTGATTATATCCAACGCAATCAGTGGTTAAAATGGTTGAAATGTTGCTAAATGCATTGATTTAAAGTATCACTAATATAATTACAGAATTGGGAATGAAACTACATGTCAAAATTTGAAAAGAAAAAAAAGTATTTTTGCATCAAAACTAGCTTGATTTATTCAAATTGAATTCTGTTTTTTCACTTCTATTATGGGGGGAATGACCTTGAGAGACCCTGAGAGATGTGAAGAAGAGATGTTGCCTAGGGAATGATCAGATAAAAGGGGACAGGGTAGCATGCAACTACATAACAGGCAGAGAAATGCTAACTGACCAGTCTGTAGAAAGAGACAGAAAGACATTTGTACTTTCAAATTGCAAGATTCTGTAAATGAAGCCTCATAATACTGTACAATTAACTCATCTGCTCTGTTTCATGTCCAGTCTATCTGGGAAGGCTGACAATTAGAGTGAGTAGACTGGCTGGGTTTATTCAGCAAGCTTAACCAAAATATGAGTTTGTTGCTTTGGTTTTGGCCTAATAAACTGTAACCAGATTGTTGCAATTTGTAAACCATTACATAAAACTGAAGCTACTACAAATGTATCTATAGAGCCTGTTTGCTTTTACTCTAAGATGGCTCACTTATCAATTATTGAGTACATATTCTTGCAGCAAATTCTCCATCACAGTGGCAGCATGCTGCTGGGATAAGCAGAAACTGCATTAGAGTATTTTGGCATTCAGAATTTCTAGTTTTTAAAACAACTCTATATCACCAAGAGTGGGGACCTGGGATAAAATGACTTTGTACATGACCATATGGTCCAGTTACTGGCCTGTCCATACTTTCTGCATGAAGCCTTTGGTTGAACCCAGTGCCATGTAGTAAAAAAATGTAGAGGCCAGGAGACACTGTTTCTCAGCTGCTCTTTAGACCTTGTTGAATATCAATACCTTGCTCCATCTCTTTGTCAATTATTACGTAAACTCCTGTGACTCTGTATTGACTTAATAGTATACAGAAAGTTGGATAGTTTTAAAATGGGGCAAAATTTCAGGAAAAACTAGAAACAGAGGATAAGAAAAAAAGAGTTTTATTTCTCTCCAGGTCTCTGATTAACATTATCACCTTATGTACGATAAAAGTAATTTTTGTATATTTATCATGTAATGCTATCGCCAAGACATCAAATAGTTTACTTCAGCCCACTAATTTGCTTTGTTTCCTTAGATGAGTTCAAGCGTGCAGTATATGTGGCTACTGGTTTGAAGCTTTCACCTCATTTAGTGAACACAGTTTTCAAGATCTTTGATGTAGACAAGGATGATCAACTGAGTTATAAAGAATTTATTGGTATTATGAAAGACAGATTGCATCGAGGATTCAGAGTAAGAATCTAAATTATTGCGTAATCATTTTTATTACATCAGCAGCTTTAAAACTATATCACTGTTTCCAGAGCCATTTCAAAATTATCCTTTTGTTGAAGTTAAAGCTATTAATCATGTATGCTCTAGTTCTATCTAATTAGAGGACTGGATATTTGTTTCTTTTGCAGGCTTAAACTAGAAGCCTTACTATTAATCAAGCTGATCTTCGGCTTTTTATTTAGCAACTTTAATTTTGCTGTTATAATTTATATGTAGTACAGGAAGTCCTGCACTTACAACCACAATTGAGCCCAAAATTTCTATTGCTATTTGCTAAGTGAGGCTTGTCACATTTTATGACCTTACTTGCCACAGTTGTTAAGTGAATCACTGCAGTTTTTAAGTTAGTAACGCCATTGCTAAGTGAATCTGACTTTGTTTGTCAGAAAGTCACAAAAGGTGATCATGTTACCCCAGAGCACTGCAGCAGTCATAAATATAATCAGTTGCCAAGTGTTATAAATTATATTACAAAATTTTGAGCATGTGACTATGGGAATGCTGCAACGATCAGAAGTGTAAAAACTGTCATAAGTCACTTGTTTCAGGGTCATAACTTCTAATGGTCACTAAATGAACTGTTGTAAGTTGATGACTACCTGTGTGTACATATGAAATGCTTTTATAAAATTAAACTAGCTTACTAGGATGGGTTAATAGGACAATTAATTAATTATTAAAATTAATAATCAATTTTGTCACAAATAAATTATACAATAAATTTGCAGATCTTGTGTAATTTTTTAATATACAAGTTTAAATTAGTTAAGACTTGAACGATTTTTCAAAACATCAGTAAACTCTGTGATATTTTTTTAAAAAGACTAATACATTTTATAGTATAAACATTTTAGATTAACAAGTCAAAACCAACAACCTTTTAAATATATGGCTTAGAAATTGATTGGGCCATATACCTGTTTGAACTAAACAGCTGAAACTTTGGTCTATTTTTTTCAGAATTATTCAGTCTAATTTTCTCTTTTTTTACTGGGTCTCTCTGAATCTTTTATTCATTTGCTCCCCTACTTCTTACTAGCATTTTTCCCGAAAGGAGGGAAATATCTCTGGAAGAATGTGAAGCGATGTAACGCTCTTAAGATTAATTACAGTGTCACCCACAGAGTGTTCATATGAACTACTATTTTCATTAAAATAAGGATTATACTACTGTGACAGTATCACTCCTTTTATGTGTGTGATATGATGCTAGTACAAAAGAAGTGGAATTTGCATTAGCCCACCTCTTCTTTTGCTATTTTCCCCTCCTCTTTAACAACAAAAGATACAATTCATTGTTGTTTTTCTAATTTTTAGCTGCTACTGTTTCCTGGCCCACTTTCTGATACTTTGAAGACATTCCGCTTTTCCACATTTTGATAGCTGTTGAGTGAAGTAGAATGTAAGCTATTTTGGGTGAGGCCAACTATTAGAATCAAGGAAGTATATCAAGCAGGATACTTCACGTTTCATACTTCAACTTGATCGGAACCTGAGCTATAAGAACTTTAAAGATGGATTAACTTCACAAATAGTATTTTAGGATTTTGAATTCAAGTGGGTTATTTAGTCCAATCCACGACAATCAGTTGTTAATTTTTCCCCAAATTGGGGTGCCTCTCCCCTTGGCATTTAGAGAGATGTGGCAGACTGTGGTTAGATTGGAGAAGAGGCAGCAATGCAGACGAGTAAAAGGCATTTGGTAATGCCAGTCTAGAAGCAGTGAGGATGAAGTATAGGCTGCGCACTGTTCCCAATTATTCAGTCAAGTAAGAGGAAGGGCAATCCTCTTTTGTCATTTTTTTTAACACACAGGTCCTGCCTGACATACTTACAATTGATTGTTCAAATTTAGTTAACACTCCTTTATATATATTGATAAAATCTCATAGCCTTTGAACATGATGACAAAATTTACTTTATTACACCTTCTACCGCAAATACAATCTTGTGAAGATGCTATATTATTTGTGTTAATAACTAGTAGAAATTTAGAATATTATTGTATTATTATTCTAAATACATGCATATACACGCACCATTCTCTAATTCTGAATAAACATTGTTTTCCTTGCATATATATTAATTGCTTTATAAGTTATTTTGAAGATCACATATCTTTCATTTTGTCCAATATGTTCTACTGCCACCTTGCGTTGTATCAATGAATTGTCCAAGAATATAGTATTAAATTACATGAAACAAGTAAATACTTTCTTGCCTTAAGATAGCAATTTTATATCTTTATTTATAAAGCACAAAGATTCTGTCTTAAATGAAGACTTTAGTGTAAACATTTTGTCAAACTATCCCTTTTCTTTATATAGGAATCTCATGTTTAAGTTCCTTTATACCAGTAGCTGAATGAATATTAAATTCTACAATGAAATTTTACTGTTTTTTTCTATAACCAATAAGTAGCATTTTCTCATGCCACTGTTTTCCTAATGCTCAGTTTTGACTGCCTTTGCATGCTACCTTTCCACGCATATTTCTTTGTCTTCTGCTTTTAGGGTTACAAAAGCATACAGAAATATACCACTTTCAAATCCTGTATGAAGAAGGAACTAAACAGCAGACAATGGTATGTTTTTGTGTAGTTGTGTTCTTGGGCAGTATTTCTAAGATTGCTGACAGGAAGAGTTCACTATTCTCAACTTGCTTTTCAATTGACAACTTTATTAATTAGAGCCAGCCACTTTAGTATTATAAACTTACAATTATATTATAAACTTCAAATTATTGTCATAGTCACTGCCATTCTTTTATTGTCTTTTTGTTTGCCTATCTTAGTTTATGTTCATTACAAGAAAATACTACCTGAACCACTAATATATCAATACAAACTAGCACCTCTATTTTCTCATACTTTTTAAATATAATTATACTATGTAAAAGAACATGTTACACATTTAGTTGAGAAGCTATACAAACAACCATTGGATTTCTTGAATGGTAGAAAATAGTAGTGCCTCACAAAGAATGTATAATTATTAAATTGGCTGTGGAGGATTATATTGAGCAAAAAATGAAAAAAAAAATCATAGTAATTCGAACAAAATTTAACTGAGCTGGTTAGAGATAATCACTTTGACTTTTGCTCTGATTTTTTACAATGATGTTCATTTTTTATGAATTATTTATAACAATAGTCCCCAACCTTTGGGGTTTGGCAGCCTGGCTGGGGGGAGAGAGGGGAACTGGACCGTGTGAGCATCGGGCCACTTGACACACACTGCTTGACTCGCAAGAGCATCGGGCTGGCCCACACGTACATACACGTGCAGCTCAACTTGAGCAAGTTGAGGTGTGCACATGCCAGCCTGTTGTTCATGTAAATTGAGCTGCGCACGTGTCTGCACCAACCCAACACTCGTGTGGTCCAGTTGCAAATAACCCAGAGCCCGGGAGTGGGCCTCAGCCCAGAGGTTGGAGACCCCTGATGTATAAATCTTAATTTTTCATCCTATTTGCATATACAGTAACTGTTACGTAGTGTCACTGTTAATTATATTTTGATTCCCTAATAGAAAGACTTCGCAATGGGTTGAAGACCTACGGTGTTTGCATCATGACTGTAATAGGGAAGCACTTTGTAAAGCTTTGGAAGCACTTTCTGAACTGAAATATGCTAAAGTGAATGCCAAGTCACCACTACTTTTGATCAACATTAATGTTTTTCCTTTTTCTTTTGCAAAGTGACCTCAGACCAAACATTTTTCAGATGAAACAGTATCTCAAAATTCTGGACTATAATTCTTAAAGCACTCTACCTGTATGATTCAAAATATGACTCATCTGCTTTTCCTGGAAAGGATTCATGTGTATATTTTTTAATGTGTAATGTAGTTTTTGACTGGTCATCCGCAGATTTTCACTCACTTTCACTTTCTTCCACCAGACTAGAATTATGATTTAATGTTTTTCCCCAGTGTCATATTTCAATCATATTGAGACTATGCTAGTAGAGAAAATGGAAATGTAAGTCATTAAATCAAAAAGTGTTTGCAGTTACATGTGAAAATGCTTTAAAAGTTTTTCAGTGCAGAAAGGGCACAGCAATCGCATGATTTGTGCATTCATTACTACATTTACCTAGGAGTATTTTTTTAGCAGGGTGAGACTGTTTCATTTAAATTCATTTAAATGGTTAGGAAGTCCATAAAATACAGATATATTTAGTATTGTATTTATAAGTGTAGTTTATTTACTCATGCCATTCCATTTTTGTAGTTTATTCCTTATGCTGATTAATGTGCCTATACTAATTATAATTATAGAAGAGAAAATATTTCTTTCTAGAGTTATCACAGGAATATATATTCAAAGTATGAAATGAGGTTCATTTTTAAACAAAATCTTAATTGTGTGGATAAAAATTGTATGAATTATTAAGACTTATAGTATAGAAAGAACCTAAGGAGTTTTTAAAGAAAATCTATAGATCATTTAATTTTGATTTTTTTAATTCAATTCTGATGTTTTTCCTTATTGACATTCAAATGAAATCAAAGTACTTTAATTTAATTGATGGTAGCTTTACTCCAGCACTTTACAATAACATTGTAGATTGATCAAAACATATTGATTTTAAATGTTATAATGATGCATAATAATAGAAAATAAATGTATATTTATTTATTTATTGTATGCTGTTCATAAAACAGCTTGGATACTAACAACTGTGAGCAAAATTCTAATTACAAGATAAATTTCTTGCCCTGTCTTCTCCCTACTGCTGCTCCTGTCTGGGCTTCTGAAACCACATATTGTGACAGTATGAGAAATCACCAAAAGCAAAAATCACTATTTAGATTCCAAACTATTTTTTTTGTGTGCTTTCTTTAGATAATCTGCTAAAGTATTTTAGAGTTGGTAAATAAAGAGAATTCGGGTAACTGACATAAAACATACAGTGGCTTTTTAAACTGCTGCTACTTATCTGGTTTTCATAACTGTAAAAGGGATGCGATACCTGTAAAAATATCTAGCCATATTCAGCCACAAAATTTTACTATTTTTTTTTACCTACAAGGTGATCTATCTATCTCATATCTTTATATAAGCAAAGGGATTATAAATATAGCTTCCATTAATACATACCATTAGCTCACTTACAGCTATATATGAGAGTGAGCGTGGTAGGGAGAGCTAGGAAGCACTGTTCATCCATAGCCTCTTTGCCTCGCAAATAAGCCCGGAAGATGGAAGGATAATATTCCTCCCTTATTCCTGCTTTTTCACAGTAGGGCTCTAGCATATCAAGGACTAAAATATTTCTTAAAAAAGCAAAATAATGATAAATCAGGAGCATAAATTATTGAAAACTGCAAGGATATAATTTTGTTTCTTTTAAATAATCAGGAGCTACAATTTTCTTATAGCTCCTGAATACATAAATGCAATGCAATAAATGTGATCCAAGAATTTGTTCAAATGCTTACCATGTCCACACTTCCACTCTTGTAATACTGGTTCCTATTAAATGAATAGAATGTACAAATAAGCAGGGTTAAATCTCATTGCTTCCTTCTGTACTGCCAGTTTTTGAAGGATGCTATAAATCTATGAACCAATCTAACAGAGTAGGGCTAGAGTTATATATTATCTGATAGCCAGCACTGGATTTATATATTATCTGATAGCTAGAAGTCAGATATTACCTATGTCCTTATGCATGTTTTAATTTTACATAGCTAATTATTTAATTAAAATAGAAACCATAATCATGGAATGAGATTTGTATTGGGCTTGATCTAAACATTTTGCTACATGAAGAGAAAATGCTTCAGTGGCTTCTCAATGTCTTAAAAATGTATAAGATAGGAGAGAGTAGTTTTTCAAACTGCACAGAGCAATATGGAAAATGATAAATTAATGATAACTTTTTTTCACCAAACAAGGATATTACCTTCTGTTAAGAACCTCTTATAGGTTAATTGGAATCAATTAAATTAGATGATGCATAACTAAGTTTATGGTGTCATACTGAATTAACAAAAATGTTTCTTAAAATGCACAAACTGAAAACAGAAAAGCCGAGACAGCCTTAAAGTAGCAAATTTTAGGAACAACATAAATGATTTAGGACAAACTGGATACTTGTCCATATTTCAAATAAAGGGATATATTGTCTTGTTTTTAGAAATAAGACTACTGTGAATAAAAACAAGAAAAATGTATTTGAATTTTTCTTCAAAATGTGCATTTTTACATGGCTGTTATTAAAACTGAACAAAGTGCAAAATTAATTCAGACATCATTTTTATTATAATCAGTCCTGTCTATTATTTTTTGTAAGTATATAATATGCTTACTGTATGTTTGATTACTTAGACAAAACATACACAACGTACATAGGCCTGAAAGATGCTCAAGGGTGATTGTTAAATTTGAGTACAGCAGTATATAATGTATATAAAGTATGTATGAAAAATAATGGACAATTCAACACTGAGCAGTTAATAATAGAAATGAAGTATCCTCTTGGTTTTTTAGTATAAACATGAAAAATGGCTGCACTGATCTTAGAGGTTGTTGGTTAAGGATGTGTTTTCATGCCAATGACATGTTGTTGACTGAGAATGATTTTCAGAGAATAACAGATTCAAAATATAGTGAGAAGCATAGATCTAAAAATGAAAATAAAGATTATTTCATTTGGCATAGAGAATAAATAAAAATTGCAAAAATTAGAACAAATGTATACATTTGTGCATCTTTGCAGTATGTTTAAGAAACATGGGGAAATGGATGGAAACTTTTTTTTAAAATGAGCTTTATTAATTTTTCAAATAAAATAAAACAACACAGAACAAATTAAAATGTTTTTATAATGACAAATTGTGATTTCTCATTTGTAACATTCTATTGTGCTATATATGTAACTACTATATCATGCATATATATGTTTACTAAATCTAGTGCTTATCTTTCTTTACAAATTACTATGCAATCTATCTTCACTCAATCCATTCATACCAATGTTCCCACACCATATAATATTCTGATAATTCTTTGTCCGTTAAAGCTAGGGTTAATTTATCCATTTCTGCACAGCTCATTATCTTTTGGATTACCATTTCCTCTGATGGGGTACAAGGCTGTTTCCAACACTGGGCATATGCCAATCTGGCCGTAGTCAGTATATGTATATTTTACATTTCTAGCATATTTTTCTTTAAACAATCCTAATAAGAACAATTCTGGTTTTAATTCAGTTTGTTCCCTTGTAATTTCTTCCAACCATTTTTTATTTTCAGCCAATATAATCTCAGAAATATTGGCAGATGGAAACTTTTAATGTCAATTCTCATATAAAGATAGTAGATAATCTCTGATCTGATGTAAGTTATGTTTATTGAAAAAAATTAAACTGAGTGGATAAATGTGGGCTTTTTTCCACATCCTTTATGGAAATGAGATATATGTATAGAGAAAAATAGAAGCTGAACTTGAATAAATGGAATACTAAGAATTTACACAGAGTGTCCTATGGTTTTATGTATCATAGTAAAAATCTAGTCCTTAACAGTTCTTAAAAATATTCTGATTTAAAATGGACACTAATCTCACAATCAATACAAAAACTATGAGTTGCGCAAAGACCCATGGAAAGATACATGCTCGGCATTACAAGACAAGATAGAAAGACCTGCACATGTATTAGAGAACAAGCAAAAGTATACAATATCATCAAGGGAAAAAAGGAATTGAAATGGAAATGGGCTGGTCACATAGCAAAAAGAACTGATGGCAGGTGGACCAAGGTGGTCATAGAATAGATTCCACTTGATAAAAAGCATCCACAAAAGAGAACTAAAACAATGGATCAACAACTTCAGCAAGTATTGTGGGCCCAACTGGCAAAAGAAAGCCAAGGACAGTATTGGCTAGAAATGTGGAAGAGACTTTCATCCTGCAGTGGAAAGACAATGGCTAAAATGATTATGACAACCTCAGAAGAACAATATATTACATATTAAACCATGTCATTTATTTTATAAAAAGAAAGCCAAAATGGAGAAACTATCTGAAAAACTATGTAATCCAACCAAACTAGGAAAATCAAAAAGAAATCCCGGACGAAGATACTGGTCAATCATCAAGGAAGCAATATGAATCTCTTCAAAGTAGTCAATAGGAATTTAATAGTGGGTTTTTTTTACAAATTCAAAAACAAGTTAAACTGCTGCCATGTCATAATGGCAACCAGCCATCCTTCACACAATGAATTAACCTATCAATTTAAACTGGTGGTTTTTTTTAAGGATTCAACTACTGTGATTTGCAAACCAAGTGTTGGGCATTTACAGTTCTTTCAGCATATGTATAACGTGTATGTGGATGGATGGATGGATGGCATATATAACTTAGAATAAAGTAGACTGTTACAATTTAAAAGATCAAGATGACAAGACTAAATTCACCCTATTAGTCTAAATTTCAAAGGGAGTTCATGCTGTTATTACAATAGTGTTATGTTGCCAGAATTAATTTATCAAAATGAATTTCTTCTGTGCTGGCCTATGATCATTATAAAAATTTGATTTCATTTAGATTTCTTCCTTTTGGTTGCAAGATTGCTACATCGCAGGGAAAGGTCCTCCTCCTTATCTCGTGTCATATTTATTCAAACTAGCCATTCATTCCAAACCAGTAACTTTATTCCTCAACTTCCCATCCGAAGACACAGTCCCAAACGTTGCTGTAAGGATTTGATGTAGATTAGCAAAACGCTTACTGGCGCAAAGTTTACCACCTAACCGCTGCCAAAAGGCTGAAGAGCAGACGAAGAGACAACGGGAATTAGAGCAGGTGGACACTTTCCCACGGTCCCATACTCCTTTCCAATGAGGTACCAACCCCGTCCGTCCCTAGGACCTCAGGATGGGTGGACCCCGAAAGCCCACGCCGCCGCCCCCTCCTCCGCTGGGATACTAAGCGGAGGGGGGGAGGCTCGCCTTTCCTCTCCCCGCCCTTCGCTCGCATTGACAGCTCGCAGTCTGGGGCGTTAGAGGGAGAAGCCTCCGTCGCACCCGTTTTTTCCTCGGTCCCGGTTCAGGGATGGGCAGCTGAACCCACTTCAGTGACTGACGGACGGCCGAGCGGGAGAGGGGCAGCGGTCGGTGGCCGGGGGCGACCGTGGGGGGGAGGGGCAGCCTTTGCCGACCCCGAGGAAGACAGCGCTGAAGGGGAAGGCGGCGAAGCGCTGGAACCTGCCAGCCTCTTCTGCCGCTGTCGCTGCCGCCGGGGATGTGCGGCGAGGGCCCGGGCCCTCCTGGCAGACGGAAGAGCTGATTAACCGGGGAGGGGAAGATGGCGTCTCCGGCGGGGTCGGTGGCTTCCTCCCGCAGCTGCTCTC